AATGAGTACATGTAATATATCTCATGAAAATGTTTCATCTTTATCATGTCTTAGTAAAAGTGACAAATTCATCTTACAGTGGATGGCATTTTCTATTTAAACAAGAAGGTAATTTGCTGTGTGAATACTGGAAATGCTGTTTCTGAATCTCTTTTCATAAAGTCTGGGAGTGGTTCGCTTGGTATCAAATAAATCAATTACAAATGAAGTTTCAGAGCATTTGACAGAACGCATCATATTCAAGTGCTCTATTCCTTCCCGTGTGGAGTCCATAAAATAGTGACAGCATGAGAGTGGCTTCTCTAGCCCATGGCACTGGTACCTGAGACTTGTGCCTGGGAATAGTGCACATTCCTAGGCTCGCAGGCCACCTCCCTGGGTTGGCAGAGAGCCGCCCGCCCAGCCCTGGCCCCTTCTGCTTTCATCTTTCTTTCTCTTCCTTCCCCTACTCACTTCCTACTGCCTTTCCGCCTTCAACTGGTGCACAATCCTCGTGTTAGTTTTCTATTGCCTCTGTAACAAAATCATCACAAAATGAGAGGCTTAAGACAACAGTAATGATTTATTGTCTTACAGAAACCTGACACAGGTATTACTGGGCTAAAATCAAGGTGTCAGCAGGCTGCTCTCTCTTTTTTTTTTTTCCTGGAGGAATCCATCTCCTTTCTTTTTCTAGCTTCTAGAAATTGACTCCTATTCCTGTCCCTCGTCAATGTCAGCAATGGCAAGTCAAGCACTTGTCACATTGTAACACCCTGACATCGGACATTGTCTTCTAATTTGACCACTCTTAAGGACGCTTTTGACCGTGGGTTCACATTAGGATAACCATCCTAATTTTATCCACTAGCAACCTTAATTCCCCTTTGCTATGCAATATAACACATTTGAAGAGACTGGGGATTGGGATGCGAGTACCCTTACAGGGGATTGTTCCACCAACACACACTACTCCCTCTTTTCCAGTCTCTGCCTGTGTTGCCAGTCATTCTGATATCTTCAGATGCTGAGTGTTGAAAGATTTTTAGGAAGTCATGAAGTAGTAGAGCTGGATTTGATTTGAACTAATTTTGAGTCAATATTTGGTCTGAATTAATGTTTTGTTCATTGCACTTGGTCAGAGTATGTACACATTTTCCTTTGGAAATATTAATGAGTATGGGTATCAGCTGCTCCTTATTGGAGAAATAATTGTCATTTATAATAATGCACTGTTCTGTCTTTCTAAAATCTAAGAAATGTAACTTCCAAATCCTATCTGGTCCCACTAAATTATATAGGGAATATGATTCTGTAATATTATCATTATTAGAAGTAGTTTTTAATTACATTTCAATGATGTCTTATCTGGATCTTGCTAGATTTGATGCTTTAGAAGGAGGAAAGAGGTGACCTATTCCATCCTTGTACATGACTCCCTTTAGTTCAGGTGTACTGAGGCTGTCTGTACATCCTTGGAG